GGAGCAGTTCCCAAGAACCCTGAGTCGTAGCCATCCTTGGGGGGAGCCAGCCTGTGAGGAAAGTGTACGCCAGGGAGAAACTGGGAGAGAGAGCTACACCAGCAGTGCGGTGCTTGCGCGCACCTTCTACGTGCCAGGCACTGTGCTAAGTACTAAGTATATAAATTCAAAAGTGAGATGGCCTCAAGGAACTCAGACTCTACAGGAAAGATTGAATGTGTTTGCAGATAAGTAAATACAGGTTATATACATGTGATGTGAAGGGCTTGGCAAACGCTTCAGTCACCAAAGATGGAGTCATTAAGATGTGAGGATCTGCTTTTGGGAGACCAGAAAACTAGCAGATGGGTGGGTATTCTGTCAGTGTCCCACGAGGGTGGGATGTCGTGGCATAGAACTGTTGGTGCCTTTCACACTGCTTCAGTCCAACTGGTGAAAAGCACCTTCCCTCATGGTCAGTGACATGGTGTGGTAAAGGGGGAGGTCCCTAAGGCCTTCATCCCTCCCTACCCACCCTTAGGTCAAGCGGCCACTGAAAGGGACCTGGAGTTTTGGCCTTTCCCTTTGTCCTTTTCCATTCCGTTCCGTTCTTCCCAGCCCCCAGAAGCTCGCACTGCCAGGAGCCAGGAATCCGACCCCACAGTGAAGCCCTCGGTATGGAGGGACCAGGACGCTAGCTGGTGGGACTTTGGATTTGAACTAGAGGGTCTAATGCAAGGTAGGAATGCAGCAAAGCCATTTTGTGAGTGAGTGGGCCTAAAAATCCTCCCTTGGGAAGGTGGGAGGGAGGTGATAAAGGTTGGGGAGAATGATTGTCCATTTGTCCTTGGTATCTCTGAAGTAAACATTCCTTTGTCAAAGGCTCAGTGGAAGCGGAGGGCTGGCCTGGGCCCCTCAAGAGGGGAGGAGCACAGTCACTGAGGCTGCAGCCAATGGATCCCCAGCATCCTTAGGGTACCAGCAACTCTGGGGGTGGGGCCAGAGGCGACCTCAACTCATACGGGATAAATCCAATGATGTCATAAAAGGAAGGCAAGCCAGCAGCTTGGGGAGCCAGAAAAAGGCCTCTTTTAACATGGCTTTTTTATTTATAATTTAAAAACCTGATATCCTTGTTCCTCCCTGATCATTTCTGAATCCATTCCTGTCTCTTCCAGCCCAGCGAGTTCAGGAAAGGCTTCTGGGAGGAGGGGACATTTGAGCCACAGCTTTGAGGGGTCAGGAGGATGGACAGACAGAGGGAGAAGGCGGAAGGCTGGGCGCACAGCTCAGACCAGTCTGCCTGGAGGAACGCAAGCTAAAGGACCGTGTGGCCGGCCGAAAACGCCAATGGGGTCTCTGTCCGAGGTCAGGAGTCGCTCCCTCAAGCTGCTTAAGCAAGGGAATGATGCGGGCATCCCTGGGCTTTGGCGGTGGCGTGGAGGCATCTTGAGACAGGGACAGACTAGAGACGTCTCTGTGGCCACAGGAACCCAATGCCAGCCCCAGTCAGGGAGCAGGCAGCACCCCCACCTAACAGGCAGCTCACTCTGCCTTGAGAGATGCCACACAGATGTGGTCAGTCAGTGATACATAAGAGTGTGTATCGTCCATTTTAAACAGGGGAAGAAATTGGCTTCAATATGGACAAGAACTCAGTTGGGAATTGACTCCTGGGTTTTAGGAGCTAGAAGAGTCTCCATCATTGAAAAGGATGGCCAGGTTCTTCTCTCAGGCTGTGCAGGCGTGGAGTTATTCCCAGAAAGGCTTTAGTCCCAGGCCTGTTACTGGGGAATGCGTTAACTTCATAAGAGATGGCCAGGAACTTGGCGAGGAACCCAAGCCCCAGAGCTCGTTGGTGGGGATCAGTGTCCTGCTCTGCATGAGGGGCGAGGTGGGGCTACTGAGAGAGGAGGGCTCTTCTGGCTTCCAGCCTCCAGGCCAGCCTCTCCTCAGGTCGCTGGAAGGAAAGTCTCTGGGAGGAAGGCAGCGGGAGAGGAGTCTCCATCGTGTCCCTCTCCCCAGATTGCTACATGAGAGACTTTGGGGGACTTCCCGTGGGTGAGGGGTGGAAGTCTCTCTGGACGGAGTCGAGTTACCCCAAAATGGGGCCCGGCACACCTGAACCGACAAAGCCTCGCTCCCCCTGGGACAGCACCTTCACTGCATGTCCAGTGCATGTTCTCCCGTGTAAACCTTCTCGGGCTTCTGCTTGCTGTGGAGTTGGGTGAGCGGGCTTCTTTGGTTCTTCCTGTGTGTGTTCATGTGGTGCGAAGAGCATTGAGGTTGGGGGGCCTCTCTTTCCCCACTAATGAATAGCAGTCAGGAGTTTGGTTTGAACCCAAAGCCACATTCCCTAGACCGACAGTATTTAAGGGAGGATGTAGATAAGATGGTAGCCCCCTCTCTCTGAGCAAGGCCTCTGCTCCCAGCCTCCTGCTTTTCCTCCTGTCAGAATTAGCCTCTCCCTTAGGACAGGTAGGGGAAGGAGAATGTCACCAGAAATGTCTGCTCTTGCCTCTCTGTGAGCCACATGTGAAGTCCAAAAGAAGGCTTGGGGCTGAGGGGGAGGCTGCGGCAAGCTAGCAAAGCCACCAGGAAAGGCCGCAGGACCCACCGTGATGGCCTCTGGTTTGGGAAGAGGGCTAGGGATCCAGTAACAGGGTCTGGGGGAGGTATCTCCGAATCAGCTTGTGGTAGATGGTGGGAGCCTGCTCAGCCCCCCAGGATGGCACGGTGGCTTCCCTTCCCCCCAGGTCTTGGGCCAGGAGACTGTGCTTCCCAAACTAGTGGAGAGAACCATCCCCTACCACATGGTTGGGAATGGCGAAGACCCCGGAGGAGCCTGAGAGCTTCCGAGGGGAGCAGGGCCTATGGTCATTTTGTTTGGCCCCAGAGGCTGACCCAAGAGCAATGGGGAGGGGGTTGGTTGCAAAGAGGCCGCTTTGGTCTGGCTGTCTGGAAAGCCTCCAACACTGCCATCCCAGTGCTGAAGAGGCTGCCCCGGGAGTGGGGGGTGGGGTGGGGGGTAGTGGCAGGCTCCTTCTCCTGAAGGCTGCCTGGAAGCAGGGTCTGGACTAGCAGGCAGCAGGGATGTTTTAGTGGGAATTCCTTTTCAGGTAGGGGTTGGGACTGTGAAGACAGCCTGCATGCTGGGGCCACAAAGGAGCAGCCCAGGGTGTGGGGATTTGCTGGGAGGGTGAGGGCGGTGCCGAGATGCATCTGATGGAGTTCCTACGGCTGAGGTTACAGATGTGGGGAGCCGGAGATTGACTAGTCGCGGTGAAGATTCCAGATGTGGATGGTCTGAGGAAAGGGGCATGGTGGGTGAGGAGTGTAGGGGGATCTCTCTAGCCTCCCCAGACGTGCCTCCCCTCCCTGCTCTCTCTGGCTGCTGGCTGCTGTTTGGCATCCTCCCCTCACCCCCATCACCTGGTCTTTCTTCTTCCTGCACGCAGGCATGTATGGGCTGACACTGGGGTGGGGGGTGGCAGGGCCAGGCTCACTTTGTGTTCTTGCCCCCCAGGGCCCGGCTGTTTTCCTTCCTGAGGCCAGAGCGCCTTTGGCAGGGATGACGACGGCTCTGGGGACACTGGGGAGGGACAGAAGGAGTGGAGCTGTAGGGGAGGAAGCGGCCTTAATGCCAAGGCTGTTTTCACGCTGCTGCCCGGTTTGTCTGCGGCTCGCTGTAGGGTCAGAACCCCTTCAAGGCCCGATGGGATGACACACAATGTGATTTCTCCCCCCAAAGTCTGGGGCCCGGACATCCGCCCTCATGTCCTGGGACGCTCCTGCCTGCCCTGTCTTCCTACATCCCTCCCCCTCCAGGGGCTCCTCTGCCCGGCGCCTCTGGCCTCGCCGCGGCACCTCCCACAGGATTGCCATCCCTCAACTCCACCTCTGGCGGCCTTCAAGCCTCTTCTGTCTTCTACAAGAAGCCCCTCCCCAAGCCCGGCTCCAGTGTCTCCTGCAAGCACCGTGTTTGTACCTAACAGTTTGCGTGTGGTTTCCCCCATTGGACTGGGAGCTTCTGGAAGGCAGGAACTGTCTTTGACCCTGCACATAGTAGTTGCTTAATGCTGACCTGTGATAGACACAGCATACAGAATGCTAGCATGTCAGTCCTGGAAAGGACCTCGAAGGCCATCCAGCCCAGGAGAATGAAGCCCAGAGAGGGGCTTTGACTTGGCCAGAGCCACAGAGCTGGCACATAGCAGAGCCGGGCTGGAGCTCAGGGGGCTCTGCGGCCATGGCCAGGGCTCTAACCACTACCCTTCACTACCTCCCTTGGAGCCCATCTGCTCCAGACTCCTCATCCTGCAGACGGGGATGTCGGGAGCACCCAGACCTCGGCTCTATCTTTGTGACTCAGGCTCCCTCGTCTCCCTTGGTATCTTTAGGGACTGAGCTGGGTGAACTAGATGGGGGTGTTCGCTGGAGAGCACTCCACCTTCCCATCGCCATCCTGAGGGACATTTCACCGGCAGATGCAGCGCCCTCCTAGGACAGTGAGCCCTGACACCACTGCCAAATGCCAGGCTGGCATGGCCGGGCGCCGAAGCAGCCCCTGGATGGGGAGTGTTAGCTTTAAGTGAAGATGGCTCGTCTTTGGGGGAGGTGGGGGGCGCCGTCCAGATCCACTGCTGTGGGACTAGTGTGTTAGCTTGGTGTTGTGGGCCGGCTATTCACTACTTATAAAAACTGAGCCACAGCTTTGGGAGCTCAGGCCAGCAAATTCTGCAATAGCAGCTGGCACTAGACTCAAGGAGAACCGACAGTGGCAAGAGGCAGCCCTCCCTGCGAGGGTGCCTGACACTGTAGACGCTATCTGACTGTTCCAAAGGAGGGCTTGCTGCTTGGGGCTGGGGAACGACACTTCAGGAAATGGAGCTGACCTACACAGGACATTGGCTAAAACTGAGCTGAGGAAGGCGGTGCTCAGCGAGCAGAGCAGACGCCTCCAGCTGGAGCTGGAAGGGGGAAAAGCACGCCCCAGAGACGACTTACAGCCACCAAGTGGGTCCATTGTTAAAAACTTTTATTGTTGACAGTGAGGAAAGCATGGCACCCCTGCTGAGTGATGGCACTCCCCCGCCCATGGCCCTCTCGCTCCCCGGGCACGCTTCTGCAGGCCCATCCTCCCCTCTGTCCATGCCCCCTGCTGACCGGGGCGCAATTTGCACAGAACAGAGCAGAGGCAGACCGCACCAAGTTTACAGCAAAACGGAACAAAAACCACACAGCCTCATTTGCATAGTTAACCAAGAGAAGCCCAAGCAGCGGCCACTTCCTCCCATCCCTCCCAGCACCGAGGAAATCAGTGGCCAGGAGCTCGCTCCCCGGTCTTTGGGGGGCTGCAGTGCGGCATTGGATTAGAAAGTGACTTAAAACAGAGAAGACTGTGTACATTTGTCCACCACACAGCTGGGTCCCAAAGCTCTCTCCTCTCCAAGGCCATGTCATCTGCCTCTCTTGGCGTCCCTAGGATGTGATAGAGGGAGTGTCCCTGGCCCTGGCCACGCACAGCAGGGGACCTTTCTTTTTAATGAACAGAACACTGTTCAGAAATCCAGAGGGTGAAGCAACAGACACGCTTTCAGAGATCTGAGAAACAGCAGCTTCTCGTTGTGGCCTTGACTTGGCCATCCTTACTTGGATTTTCAGAACCCAAGGTGTGCTGCCCGTAACTTGGCACATAGGCTTGACACCCGGCAGACTAGCAAGCGAAGGACCCCAGACCGCCGGGGGCGCCACCCTTTCCTTGGGCTCAACAGAAAACTGAACTCAGGGTTGCTTTGGCGATGGGGGGAGACATATGGCACATGTAGATAAAATATTTTTAACCTTTTGTTGTTTTGAATGCCTATAAATTACTAATGGCAATAATTAAAAATACCCGTATCCATTCTTCCTTTTTAAAGCAAACATTCGACTCATTTTCTGGCCTCAAGGTTCCAATGCTATTGCTTCATTAAAGTGTAGGTGCTCTAGCAATGTGTGTCTTGCCAGAAATGAAGACGGAATCTTGAGTCGTGGCAGAAGGCAGCCACCCCCAGCTCCCACCGGAGGAGTCAGACAGCTCTGGTGGCTTCAGGAAATACTCCATCCACATCAGAAGGGTAATCTCCCCCAGCTGTAGGGAGCGGACGCTGTCTGGGGCACCAGCCTTCCCCGCATTGTGAATTTAAAGGCTCTCGATCCTCTTTCAAGGCTGTCCAGGGACACCTAGAAAGAATGTGATTTGGTTGTGTCTTGTTGAAATTCATCTGTCTGCCAGAGGTCAGAACAGAAGGTCCACTGTCTGTGTCTGTGGGGACTTGAGACATGAAAAGACACTTAGGATCAACATTCATTCACAGACATTTAAGGCAATGGGTTCGATCGATCACTGGTTTGATGAATGAGCATTGAACAATGGCTCTGCTCACAGCTGTCGTGGAATGGAAACGCTGGTGAGCCGTCCGGGCCCCGGGCCCCACTTCAGACTGCTCTGCTGCCAAAGCCACCATGGCAGCCGTCCGCCACGCAGAGGGCACACTTCTGGGCAGCTGGGTTTCATCACTCCACATTCCAATACAAATTAAAGCAAAAAACCAGTTTTGACCTCAGCTGGCACACGCATAACCTGGGCATCCCCGGTCCTGCTTCTCCATCAGGGAGGCTCTGATGGAGAAGGGACACAGGACATGGGGATGGTGCTTACATCAAAGATTGGCTGGTTCTTTTTTAGGCGATGCTATCCAGATGGTCTTATTGTGCAACAAGGCTCCCAGACCTTGCTGCAAATGCTGGACGAGGAATGAAGGCCCTCTCTCTCCCTCTGTTCTGTCAGCAGCCCCGATTGAGTAAGATGCCCAGCTTCAGGAGAAGGGCATTGGGGCAGACCCCCAGCCCCATTCCAGAACTTCTCAAGGCGTGTTCTTTCTCTCCCTGTTTGGCACGAGGCTGGCCCGCTGGTCCCAGTGGAGAGGACTCTCTCTAACACAAAACGAATGCCAGGGAGCAATGCTCTACTTTTGTCACTTAATTTCCCCCAGAAGTTGAGACAAGAGAACTCCTGGGTCCAGTGGGTGCCCTTTATTGAGGGATGAGATTTCCTATATTGGCAGATCAAAGCAAGTGGGTTTTCGGTGCAGGCACAGTGGCGAAGAACAGTATCACAGCCGCCAGGGCCAGTTCCGTCTCTGACGGAACAGTAGCAGCAATGAAAAGAAAACTCCCAGGACAGCTCGACATGTATGTCCAGCTTACCCCAATGGGCTACTTGAAAGGAAAGACTTTGAGAGATTTGCTTTTTGGCCTCCAAAGAGAATGGGGCTTTTGTCATCGCATTGCAAATGGTGTCTGGATGGCAGCAGGGCGGGACAGGAGATGAGACGTCTCGCCTGTCTGGGGGGTGAAGGGACTGAGAGACCAACTTGTGACCACTTCAAAACACCAACCCAACACTGCATGACATGACACCTTTCCTAGGGCACTTGGGCCACACACAAGCTGTCGGAATGGATGGAGACAATGAGGACAAACACGGAACCGCAGGAAACAACAAAAGACTCCAAGATCTGACGCCTGACGCGGCAGCGTGGTAGGAGCCATGGAAGCGAGTCCCACTCCGGGGGCACAAGGGCCCAGCACCTCAGCTGCCCTTTCTCTCCGCTTTTTTAGTTATCATATATTACAGTGCTCTATAAAACTCTCCTGTTTTTTTTTTAAAGCAGTTAGACAATAAAAGATTAAAAGATGTCTGGAAATATGCAGTATACAAAAATTAACTTTTATCTCAAAATAACATTCCAAAGGCACTTCATTCAGTAGGAAAGAAACTCAGAGTCAGTTCAGCTGCTCTAAGCAGGAACGAGAGGGAGAAAGTCTGAATGTCGGCATTGCAGGAAGGACAGTCAGGAGCAGGGCTCAACTGTGGAAACACATCAAGATTCATTCCTTTTTTTGGTATGTTTTAAGAAAAAGCGATCCAGTAAAATGTGTTTCCATTTATGAAATTCATGAAAAGAGTTCCATTTAAAATAGTGATTTTCTTTTCCTTTTTAAAAAGAGGCATGATCGACCATACTCTAGGAGACAGAGAGGAAGTGTGGCAGGGCTGGCCGTGCCTCCCCTCGCTGTCCTTGGTGACGATGAGGGCCTGATGCACGTAGCCCCACTCATCTTCCTTCCAGGTCTGGCAGAAATGGCCTCCTCCCAGTGTCCATTTCCAAGTGTGGCCAGTGGAAATGGTCGGGGCCTGGATGCGTTTCAGCCACAGCCACAGCCAGGGTGGAAGGAGGGACGGGACCAAGGCTACCTGTGGCAGAACTTCTGAAGCATGCCATAGACATCTTCCTCACGACTCAGTCCTTCGAAGAAGGGGATCAGGTCCAGCAGCTCGGTGTCACCCATGTCATCGAACCAGGACTGCACGGGGACCTGGAAGAGAGCATGTGACAGGGGGATCACTGGCTGCACAGAGCCAGAGAATGGGCTGACCCGGGACACAGAGACTCCAGTCCCACTGGCGGCCCGTCCACACCATCCCCGTGACCTGTGTCCCTTCTCTGATGGAGAAGCCGGCTAGGGACACCCGGGTTAGATGCATGCTAGCTGAGGTCGAAAAGTGCCTGGACTCAGGGCCCCCAAGACCCCTTTGGGCTCTGTGATTCTTAGGGGATGGCTGGGAGCAGTCTGGGCCTCTTTTATTTCTTTGCTTTGCTGACAAACTCTGGTGTTTTTTGTTGTGATGGCTAGGGATCCTGACGATGGTAACCAGCAACTCTCCCAATACCGTTGCCCTCGAGAGGCTCTCTGGAGTGTGGACGGGGTGCTCGGGAAATGGAATTGGGAAGCCCTAAGCCTCAGTGCCACCTCGGGCACTTTGGGCCCATCCTCTCTCCTCCTGGACCCCTCCCCAGCCCACCCCCATGCCTCCCTCTTCAGTGGGGGGGCGTGTCAGACAGAAGAGTTTCATGTCCTCAAACCCCAGTACAAAGCTCCTCTTCCAGATTTCACTTTTTATTAAATTTGGGAGGGAGGCCATCCTAGGTGGTCCTGAGCATCAGGAATCTGGAGGCAATGAGAAAACCAAAGCGATGCCTCATGCCAGATAACTGTTGAGGTTCCTGCCCCCATCTCAGGAAGCCTGGTCAGGGGTGTGGGGCCAGAGCTGCCAATCAGAGGCAGGCTTCCAGGCATCCAGGCACCCCAGCCTGTCTCCTGGCAAAGCTGAGGGGCACAGGAGGGCGCAGGCCCCCTCTTCACTTTCAGAAATGGTCTTGGAGCTCTAAGGGCTGTCTCACCCCATTAAGGGCTGCCTCATCCCTCATCATGACGAGAGTCACAGCCAGACTTAGGCCAGGGCTGGGTCAGGAAAACCTTCCCTACGGTGTGAGCTGGTCACTCCACTCTCTGCCTGGGTTGGCCCTGGGGGGGGTGGGGCCCCTTCATCTAGGACACTTCCTGTTTCTGAGATGGTCCAGGCCTCCCAGGGACTCCCTAGACAGACACTGGCCCCAGTGAACCAGGAGTCACCAGGCCTTATAAAGTGGAGCAGAAGGGGCCCAAGTCCATGGTTACTGACTCCCTCTTCCCTGCAGCCCCCTGCCCCAACCTCCAGCCCCTCCAAGCAGGGAACAGGCAGGAAGGACTAAGCGCCTGGAGTGAGGACACCTGGGTTTGATGCCCACCTCTGGCACTTCCTCTGTAACTGCCACGGCAAGTCTGCACGGGGAGCCTCAGAGTATCCCACTGTCATATGGGAATATTGGCATGTGCACACCTGCCTTGCCTGGGCCCTGGCCTTGGAGGCTGGTATTCAGGGTCAGCTGGAGTGATGGGGAGGAGGAAGGGGGCCAAAGCAGGCAAAGGGTTCCCCTTTGGGGGCTCTTGAGATCTGGGCACCCCACAGGCTGAACTCTGGCCACAGCTATGGCTACTTTCCTGAAATGCAGAGCCAACAGCCAAGATGGGGCCTGGGCAAGGCCCGAGGGGCCGCCACTGCCCTGTGAGGGGGGAGCTCAGAGAAGGGAAGGGAAGCCTGATTTAATTTTGGCCGGAGTGGCCCCCAAGCCGTGCCCACTAGAGAGCAGGCCAGGCCTTTGGCTCGGCATGGAGACAACTGTCCTCAGAAAGCACTTACCGCGTTCTCGGGGTGGAAGATGTAAGAGGCTGGAGAGTTATCAATGATGATCACTTTGCTCAGCTCCCGCCCGAGCTGGCTGAGGTCCTTCACATAGTTTCCTCGATGGAAAACACAGGACTCTCTAAAAAGCCTGGCCCGGAACACGCCCCAGCGGTCCAGCAAGTCTGCCACAGGGTCTGCGTACTTTAGAAACAGAAAAGGGAATAAAGCGGACAATCCGGAGCCCTGGCAGCGGGCTGGTCAACGGGAAGGGGCAAGGTGATGGGGGCGCAATACGGTCTTCTTAAGAGATCTAGACTCCGAATATCACAGAAATTCATTCAGGGACCCCAACCCATCTCCCCGGAGCAGGAGCTGAGCTAAGCTGCTGTGTTTTCATGGATGTATACGTATCAGATATACATTTATGTGCCCATCCATCCATCCCTCTATTTGTCTTGAGTTGATCTAAGAGAGAATTCCCATTTCCCAGGCCCCATGGGGGCCACTTGGAGGCCATTGACATGGCATTGTATGGGAATAGACTCATGTTCATTTCCATGGCTTCACCAGATTTCTATCAGTTGTACAGGCAGGATGCTTATTTACTGTCTCCAGGCAGCCCTGTGGCCAAGGCCGTGAGGACACAGGATAGAGTCAGAGCCCTCTAACCACCAGCCTATAAATGGAGTCGATCTATCAGCAAACAGTCACCCCTTGGAGTGCGGAAATGGTAGTGCTGGTGAGGGGGCTTCTGCCAAATCTGCAGAAAAGAGGCCTGAATGAGGCCCCTGGGGAGGGAGGCGGATGTGAGGTCCAGGAAGGCTTGGGACTTGGGTAACAGTCTCTGCCTGTCCCTACTGGGCTGGAATCAGCTGCAGAACCCTCAGTTCAAGCCAGAGTGAAAGCTCAGCCAGAATTAGCCCCTCTTGCCACTTTCTGGCCTGATCCCGGGCCTTCAAGGGCTGCCAAGCCTGAACAGATGACCACACACATTTTCCAGAGAAGAGCCCCACAGCGGACCCGACTAGAGGGGCTCAAAGCCTGAGGGAAAGCCTAGGAAAGCAGCAGGCCCCAGAACTACCCCCCCCCGGAGGGATGGCATAGCAGACTCACATCAGATCACTGGCCTACCTGGGGAGGAGGAGGCTAGCCCTGGTAGGGCCTCGTCTCAGCTGCTGGCATGAGCAGGTGGCAGGGATGATGGGCGCATACAGGTGTACTCCCCCCCCCCACTTATCACTGCCCGGCACAGGGTCTGGCACATAGAAGGGGCTCCCACCCAAGACAATGCCAAGTCTTCAGGCCTGAAGCTTATGAACCATAAGCCCAGGGACGTCATGGGAGGGCTAGGCTGGACCAGCTTCATTCATATTCATCTTTTAGAGGATTCTCTGGGAAAAACTGGATCTTCCCAAGTCTGTTTGCCAATGTGAATAGAGAAAAAGCAGCAGGCCCAGGCCCATTAAAACCTTGCTTCCCTGGCGAGACCAGAGGCCAGCCAGCTTAAGGAGGAGGGGCCGGCCCTGCTGTGCCCAGTCTCCTGTCCCAAAGGGAACAGTCCCTTGCAAGGCCCAGGACAGCACAGACCCCATGTCTGTGATGATGCTTGGCCAGGCCATGACACACCCACATCAGCTGTGGCGAAGGGGGGAGCAGGCTAACAGAAGCAGCTGTGGGCGGCTGGCCTGGGAAAAGCTGCCTAAACAAGGGAAGGAATTTCAGGCTCTTCCCTCTTGGGCGGCAGGCCACCCCGAGGCTGCCCAGAGCCGGGGGAGGAGCTCAGCCACCTCCCAGGATGGCCCAGGTGAGCCCCGCCCCTGCCCCCTCTGGCCAGCGCCAGGTGTGGGAGGCCAGACACATCTGTGCGCCCCCAACCCTGCCCATCACAGCCTCGTTGTACTCTTCTGCTGGGCCCAGCGCTGAGGATGCCTGCAATGAGGGGGTCACCCCATTTATCCAGAGAAGTAAAGAGCACAGTGCTAAGGGAAGGCCGACTCCAGGAGCTCAGTCTGGTGTGTGCTTGGTACACATTTATGGACTTACGTTGCCTCCCCCAGCAGAATGGAAGCTCCCTGAGGGCAGGTACTGTTTCTTCCTTGTCTTTGTACCCCAAGGCCTAGCAGAGCCCATAGTATGTTGTGGGCACTTAATAAATGCTAGCTGGCTGGCTGACTGGCTGACAATCTGCATTCTGAGCCCGCGGGAGGGCACGTGCGCAAAGGCCCATCGGCGTCAGGGCAACAGCTTTGGAAGGATGGACGCTCACCAGGAGGCCAGGCAAGTGGGGAGAAGAGGCATCTTGGAGGCCGGGTGCCTATGCCTTTATAACCATGGCACTCGTGTGGCGGGCAGCCCGGACTGACTCCGAGACTGGGGCGCCGGCCTCTGGCACTAGCCAGAGTCAGGAGATCAGGGTGCAGGGCCCGCCTCTGCCCAGACTAGCTGTGTGACCTGAGGCGATGAGGCTGTCAGACTGTGGTCACTTAAGGTGCTCCTACAGAAGTCGGGCAGTCAGGAGGCGGTGAAAGGTGGACTCTGCTTTGGATGCAGAGTTGGAGGGGTCTGGGACATCCAGGTGGTGGTGCCCAGCAGTCGCTGGAGATGTGGAGCTGCAGCTCAGGCGGGAGAGGGCAGGGGTGTGCCCTGAGGTGATTATTGAGCCCAGGGGAGAGCCTGGGACCACAGGAGGGCTTTATAAAGGGCTGGTGGGAAGAGCCCATAAGGATGATGAGAGGACAGCAGAGGGCAGATGATGGAGGAGATGGGGAAGGGTCAGCCAGAATCAAGGGGGGGACTGAAAGAGATGATCCGGGAGCGGGGAGGAGGCTTCTCAAACACCCCTGGCAGGTCAAGGCCTGAGGAGTTGAGTGGGAAAGAGACTAGGGGTGGCCTTGGCCACGGCGGTCTCAGCAAAGTGGTGGGGAGGCACAGAGGAGAGCAGCAGGGCTCTGGGCAGAAAATGCCACATGGAGCAAGGCTTTGGGAGCTAAGGGGCACCAGCAAGGCACCAGCTACAAGTGGTGACTCCACTTCACCCACCATCCTCCTTTGTGGGTCTGCTTGTGGGTGGCTCAGGAGCCAGGCTGCAAAGGGCCCTGGGGGTGCCCTGGCGGAGACCCCTTCTAGGAGTCTGGCGGTGAGGAGGACAGAGGGGATGGCGGGGTCACGTGTGTAAGCAGCAGGGAAGGAGCGAACAGAGAAAAAGAAGAAAAGGGCCCATGTGAATCGGTACTGGGCCCTGCCATCCTGGCAGACGGGGCAGTGGTGGGGTGCCAATGAGGGAAAGACCTAGAGCAGAGGCACCGCCTGGCCCAAGTCTGTCGTCAGGCTGCAGACAAAGGCGGGAAGGAGGGGACGTCAGGGCCAGAAAGGACCTGGGATTTCAGAGTTCTGGACTGGGATGGCAGCAGTGATGGGTGAACAGTGGGACTTCTGGTGTGACCAAGCCTGCCGGGGAGGCATGAAGGGGCGGGGGAGCCAGGACATCCCTCAACCGAGTGCTGGCCTCGTGGGGGTCAGTGGTGACAGTGACAAGGTCCTGGGCATCGGTAAGGAAGCTCTAACTCCGGCCAGGCACGTTGGGGCATGAGAAGAGCCACCAGCCAGGGAGGGCGGCCAGGGACCAAGTGTCTGAGCTGAGGGGAATCTGACGATACAGAGGTGGCTCCAGAAGGCTGCAGCCAAGAAGGAGAGGGCAGGGAATGGCAGTGGGGGCTGGGGCTTCAGGAGCCATGGGACAGGGCCCAGCCTCTGGAGTCCAGTGATGGCAGAGTTGGGGGAGGGGTCGGAGCTGCAGGGTCAGCAGATCTCTGGGGCCGGGTCCCTGGGGAGCGGAATGAACTCACTCAAGGGCCTAGCTCTTTGGTTCAGTCCCACGCAGGTGACACAGGATGAGGTCCCCCTGAGATGCTCCACTCACAGTTCTGATAGGCAGCCCTGGGCCAGGCCCTCCGCCCTCACCCCCTTTCACTGTCTTAATGTGTGTCCGTGTTGAACCCCCCCCCCCCGGTAGAATGTGAGCTCTTGGAGGGTAGGGACTGGTATTTTGTGCCACCAGGGAGTGGTCAGCTCTCATCTTGTGGTGGCCTGGGTTCCTGTAGGCCGAGCCCTAGGGGAACCCTCGCTTAGGCAGCTCTGGCTTTGAGCATTCCATGGGACAGCCTGAGTGTTCCTCTGCTGTCCACCAGCCCTGTTGAGCTCACGGGGCTGGCCCGTTCACCTCCTAGGCAGTTTTTCTGTGTCAGCAGTGGGAGCATCTGCAGAGGGTCACCTTCGGTAAGATGGAGGGCTGCCCTCGGCACAGCACCTTTATGTGTGGGCTTTATGATGCTGGCAAAAAAAGCTCCTTCTGATCCTAAGGGCCCCTCCCTCACCCCAGAGCCCACGAGGCCAGGGTGCTCTCCTAGGTGGCCACATACAGATATGTGGGTTCCACCAAGGACTGTTCCAGGGTCACTGCCACTGGCTGCACGTCATTAACCCCTGGGTGTCCTGGCTCCCGTGCTGGGCTCTGTGGCCCGCCCTCAAGTCCCAGAACTTTGGGCCTCTTTTATCTGCTCTCGGCTATTGCCATGACAACCACAAACCTCTCACTACAGTATCCCAAGCCCCCCAGCACAAACAGAGGCTCTATTATAAGCCAAGCCCGGATGGGCTGGGATCCGGTCCCCATGGAAACTCCCCAGCCACGCAGTGACAGAAAACACCCTTGTCAGATAGCAAAGGGAGGGAGGGAAGGAATGAGGGAAGGAGGAAGGGAGGCAGGGAAGGCAGGATTAAAACAGCCCCCCCCCGAGAGGTGCAGTGCCCTCCCTCTGGATACAGCCCCCCCCTCCCCCCTCCCCCCCCCCGGACAAACCTTTGCCAGGCTGGCCGTGAAAAGTACACACTCAAAGAGCTGCCCCATCCTTTGAAGAAATTCATCCACGTGTGGTCGTTTCAAGACGTAGACCTGGAAAAAGACGGGGCTGTTTACTGACAATGTCTGCTTGGAGAGGCTGAGCCCCAGAGCAGGGGCCAAGGTCAGAAGGACTGCTGGGCCCTTCACCTGGGAGCCCCACCTGCGGCTCTGGGAAGGGGGAAGTGGCAGAGGCAGCGCAGAAGAAATGATTCCAGGATCCTTGGGGCTAGGGTGGGCAGGGGGGCTTTGCTGGAAGAAGGGGGCAGGCCATCCCTCCCCACCCCCGGCCCAGGGCTTGAAAAAGACCTTGGCTCATTTCCCTTGGGGCCACCCTCACTATTCTGGAGAAATGGAAAGGCCCCGTATGTGGTACAGACAGTCACAGAAACCATGCGGCCGATGGTGGCTCGGCGTGCCAGGTGCTGGGGCTCCCGTGGGCGACACGATCCCCAGTCACCGGAGCTTATGTTCTAAGAGGGAGAGAACAGCAGGAGCTGCTGAAGGACCCGGTCATGAGGGGCTCAAAGACAGAGGAACTGCAGGATGAGGCTGAGCTGGACAAGGACCAAATCAGCTCAGCCTTCGATGCGCCTGATGTTTAGAGGGAGCTGCCGCCACTGCCGCCACCTCCTGAGTTCATGTCTCCACCCTCGGCCCCTGGGACCGAGTCGCTGTCCCCAAAACACACGATTCAAACAACGGAACTGGAAGTCCCAAGAACGAAGACCAGAAAGCTCCGAGCATTTCTGCATTTGACATTTTTGTGCCAGGGAACTTGGTGGAGGATGTGGACAATAGTCCTATGGCACAGGCAGACAAGGACGGGTCGCAATCGGCACTGCTGGAGGGAGCACCTCAATCAGTGAGATCCCAAATCCCCTGGAGCATCTGAATATTGAGTGATTTTAGTGCTGCTGACTCAGGAGCTGCACAAGACCACTGAGGTCAGGGAGGAAACGGAACCAAGGACCAGAAAGGTGACTTGACCAAGGTCATACAGCAACTAAGTAGAAGAGCCAGGATTCAAATCTGGGTCCTTTGGCTCCCAATCTGAAGCTCCATCTACATGATGCCCCAGGCTGTCCCCCCCCCCCCCCCACTCACACACCCAGGTGTCATTGTTCTGCCTCCCAAGGGAGGAAGGAGTCACTGAAATGGGCCGGCAGACACGGCCCCATGGGGATGGAGCTCCTGCCTCTCCTCACCAGCTCCTCTCCCCAGGTACCACCCACTCAGCCTTCCTGCCCTCCCTAGCCTATTCCCTGGCTCCTTCCAGAGCAAGCTTGGGTGTGGGGCCAATGGGATACTTCCCATCTTGTGGGGGAGTCCCAGGCAGAGGGGGCCGCGCCATGAGGGCCAGTAAAGAGGCTCCTCTCGGCAGGTATGGAGTCACACCTGGTACCGGGATGAACTCAGAGAGAGCAGCACAAGCTCAGCTAAAGGGGAAGTGGGAGTGGGCGGAGAAGAATTCTTATTTAAAATAGGAGAAAACTTCACCAAAACAAAAAGCAGAAACCCACACCTCCCCCAAATGCCAGAATCTGCTGAAATTCGAAATTGAATTTTAGTCCTTTTCCAAGCAGGAAAACAAAAACCAAGCAAAGGATGAACATGCAATGTGGCGAGAAGGGATCCGGGCCATAGTCCTAGTGGGCTCTGAGGTCTGCTCAGGCGAGTGGATTTCCTCTGCTCCCCGGGGGGCCAGGAGCCCAAAGAGGCCAGACAGGCCCCATGGGAGGGGGGCTGAAAGCAAGACAATGCCCCGCTAGTGGGAATCTCATCTTCATCTCCCATGCCCCTCCACGCTCACACTAGGGGGTCCCAGACCCTCTGTGGCAACCCCCAGAGCAGGCTTGGGAAGGGGCACAGCTGCCTCTCGGGACGTGGGCTAGCATGGCTCTTCCTTGTCTGCTTTTTAACTAGAAGCGTTACATGTACACATTGTTTTGAATACACTCATTTCGACATCGCAGTTTCCATGGCACGGCTCGCACGGACAAGCTGGACCATTCACCAATGGCTTCTGCTCCTCCACGTCGGCCGGCCGCTCGTCCTCTAGCGTGTCGGGAGATGCTGGCGTTCTAGGGCTCCCGCTGCCGGTGCCGCTTAGTGTGGCCGTGCCCGAGTGCAAGTAACCAAGAATAGGCCGATGAGAATGGGTCCAGCCTATCCTGGATTACTTGAACCAGGTCACGGCCTTTTCCAGGAGGACGGCTCCCGTGGCTTTATCAACGATGTGGCTTACCTCCTGCGAAGCTGGGATTTCTGCATTCCAAGGCACTCACCCTCTCGGGGTTTCTACTTCTAAGAGAAAAGCCACAGCTGCACGAGGTCCAGGCTGCACCCCTGCTCTGACCTGGGCGCAGTGTGGAGACAGAGCAAGAACATCACCACCCTGCTCGCACCCCCTCCCCCGGGAAGCATTCCCACGGTCCTCCCGCTTAGAATGTATTCTGCACATTTGAAAGCACCAACTGTCGCCCGTCATGCTGGCTTTTTGGAAACTGAGTCAGGCTTTGCTTAGCTGAGTCCAGGCTGTGCCGCCCCCTCCCCTGCCCTCCCCTCCCCTCCAGCAGAATGCAAGCTTCTACTTGGTTGTCTTTGGCTCTCGGCCCAGTGCTGGGGCACTGTTAGGAGCTCCGCATAAGTGAATTTTCCAGTTAACTGAAGGTGTAGGCATTTTGCGAAGCCCTCTCTTTCCTTGGATTCTTGGTGCCTCAGGGGATGATGAAGATGAAGAAGCACCCCAAGCAATGTTCTCCAGCTCTGGGGTCTGCCGCTAGCTAGGGAGCATCCGTCCTGCTCCTGGACGTGACCAGCTGGCCACCTGAGATGGTGATCACCTCCCTTGTAGCCCCAACCTCCCTCAGAGTGGCCCCTGCTTTTCCACAGTGGGCTAGAAAACCCAATGACCCGACCAGCCAGGATGCGTTCAGTGCCCATGCCGGGCAGCAGGGCTCTTGTGGAACCCAACGGCTCTGTTCTTTCTGATGCTAAGTACTCCCTGCCCCCAGGAGAAGCCTGGCCTGCCCATCCCTAACTGAGGTGGCGACTGCGCATCAGAGCCCCGAATGACAGTCTGGGTGTGGGATTCCGGCCCTAAGCTAATGGAAGGAGATGTATGAAGGGGGGCGGTCGCTGCTTCTGCTTGGCATGAGAAGTCTCAGCTTCGCCCAGAACACCCAGGGAGGGCTCCTGCTGAACTGTGCGTTAAGCAAAGAACCATCTTCAGAAGAAAGGCAGACAAGCGACCAGCAGCATCGCGGGCGACTCCTCCCACTGCCAAGGTGCCACGAGATTTTTCTCTGCGCACACACCCCAGCATTTTGGATGATCTGAATGATCAGCGCGCAGCCCACATTAACAGCACAAAGGCTGGGCGTGAGGAGACGCTGCCGCTAACAGTCCCCACCCGCACCTGCCCCAATGTGAATGCTGGAACCCATCAGAGCTCTCCTAGGGCATCCCTGCCCATCCCTCGTCCAACCCATCCCCTCAGTTCGCCAGAAAGCGTGCTTGGCATACATCTAACACGGCAGCCCAGCCGAGGCCTGAAGATTATCTCAGGGACAGGAAGCACTCTTCCTGTCTGCCACATGAATGGGTGGAGCCGGCAGGGACCCTGGAGGCCGCCACGGCTGCCCCAGGATCTGCCTTCCTCCAGGTCCCTGGCAGCCTCCCAAGCAGCCCACCAGGTAATACCTCCATCTGGCCTCAGCTGGGCAACGCACAAGGGGTAGCCAGGCTGGAGAAATGCTGACTGGGGTCTGGCGTCACAGCGTGCCAAGTCAGCCATAGTCCTGGCCACTGAAAGCACAGGCCAAAAGATGGGCTGGAGGTCCCTCCCTCAGCTATTGGGGAACCCTTTGTCTTGGCATTGCAATTCTTCTCCCATACCGGCAGCTTTGAGATTTATAAAGTACACGGGAAATGAAGACTGCCTTCCCTGGGTGGGGGTGGGGTGTTTGGCTTACAAGAGTCTTTTTCAAAAAGTTGGATTCGAATTCTAAGATAAAAATCAATGATTTTTATTCCCTCTGCATTACTCAAATTTCTCCAAGTTCTATTTAAGGGATAAAGCAAAACTCAAAAAAACAAAGTAGATTTCTGGTGAGTCTGGGGTCATGTTTTGCCAGACAGTTGTGGTGAGGTCTCAGTTGTACCTTGACGATGAAATTATGCCAGCAATTCAAAGGAGGGAGGGCTAGTTCTTCACCTTTAACCAAAGCTCCCAACTTTCTACTAAGGGGGTTTTTGCCGAGAATACTCTTCGCTGGCCACCGTCCATAGCACAAGCCTCTTCCTTCTCCCCTTTCTGCCCCAAACACTCCTCTGATCATTCCACCTATGGACAGAACCCTACCTCTGCCTCCCCGTTCCTTCAGTTCTGAGTGGGGGCCCCCTCGGGCCCCATCCCCACTGTATTCTGCACTCTACAAAGTGCATGCACGTTGTTGCCCTGGGTGTACTGGTGGAAGGCAGGGCCTTCTTCATACAGCTTGCTTAACACAGGGCCACGCACACAGGCAGCATGCAATGAATGTCTGCTCATCGACGGATCCAGTTCTGGGCGCCCTCCAAGGACTCAATCCAACACTTCCTGCCTGAAAGGCCCCCATCCTCACTACAAGTGCTGGCCAGTCACCAGCCTCTCCCCTAAGTTTCTTCATCCGTAAAATGGAGCTGCCAGCTGCCTTCAAAGGGCTCTGGGCAAGTCCAAATAAGAGAACATGTCCAACAGCTCAGAAAAGGCAAAGAAGGAACACAGATACAAGTGGGAGGACGGCCATTGCCTAGACAGAGGCTGCCGAGAGGTCTGGAAGCAAACCAGGACAGACGGACGGACAGATGGACACACACCCTCATCCTCAGGGAATGTGTTTACAAGATGTGGTTGCATCTGCCTGAAGGCTCCTTACCCCAATCGGATGCCAAGCCCGCCATGGCACAGTGGATGGCACCAAGTGCTGCTGCAACTGAAATCAGTCGCTATCACCCAGCCCCAAGAGGGAAGGGCCCTCGCCAGGCAGCCGCAATTTCTCCCTGTTATCCCTGGCCTCTGCCTGGCAGCGCCTCCTCCCACTCACTGCCCCAGACAGCCCTCGCCAGAGAGCCGCGAGCCTCCTTTTCTCAGCTTCCTCCAGGCCCCCTTTGCACCCATCCCTTTCTATCTTCTACCAGTTATAATCTGCTACACCCCTCGTGCAGACTTCAGCCTTCGGCTCTCTCCATCGGTGCCTCGGGCCATCGCCCCCTCTTTACCTCCTCCTCCTAGGACTGCAAGAGGAGCCACCTCCTACAGCAAGATCTCCTTGATTGTCTGTGCTCCCCCCAGTTGTTAGCGTCCTCGTCGCCCCACTCAAATGACCCAACTTTGCTGCCCCTCAGCAGAAACACGACAGGGAGGGCCGGCAGGGTCCCTTCCACCGCTGCCGAGACAGAGACAAGCGCTGTTTAATGAGGATTCCAAGAGCAGCTGAGCCCAAGACTTCTCATCAGCCAGCCAGACGGGAAGGGGCAGGCCCCAGACTGAAGGAGGCGTGCAGAAACAGCGATGGCGATGGCCACTCGCTACACATATCCTAGCCCCAAGTTCACCCCCAGCGGCTGAGGGAGGCTGAGCCTCTGCCTGAGCCCACCGCCTAGAAGGGGACCTTGAGTTCTCCGATATGATGCCTACTGTGTGCCAGGCACCGTGCTGAGGGCTGTCCAAATATTATCATTTGACCCTCACAACAACACTGGGTGCCGTTATCACACTCATTTTGCAGGTGAGGAAACTGAGGCAAACCCAGGTTTGTAGACTTGTCCAAGATCACACAGCTAGTGTTTGAAGCCACATTTGAACTCAGGACTTCTGGGCTCCAGACCCAGCCTTCTCTCCACTGCACTTCTCAGGGCCTAAAACCTAGCCAGCTCCCCGACATTAAGAAGTCAGAAAGGCCTATTAAAACCAGGTTAAAAAAATGAATCATGTGATTTTTAAAAGGTAGCGAGGGAGATCAGCCCTGAGCCCCGTGTAACCTCATCCGGTTTTCTGAAGCTCAGTGCGCTTCAGCGGTTTGGACCGAGCTGCACAAGGCCCAACAGGCCTCCCGGGGCCCTCGCTGGAGGTGAGGGCATGGACGAGGCTCATGGGTCTAGGTTAGGTGCTGTCCCTTACCATGGCCCCTGGAGCTGAGGAAGCCACAGGCTCTGAGTAGGGAATGGGGAGGTGAGAAGGAAAGATGACCAGACACCGGGCCCTGGAAATAGGAACCCAGGGAGAGGTCATCCAGGGAAGCTCTGTAACTTGGCGCAGGGTGGGGGGAGGAGGGTCCTCCAGAGAGGAGGGTCTCTAGATGAGTCAGGAATACTTTCAAACAACAGCTGAGCTAGCCAGCCATGCAGGGTCACAGAGAGACCCTGATGGGCTGAGAGGGGCGCCGAGTGGGCCAGGGGGCTTCTGGGCAGGAAAGGGGGAAGAACTGAGGCTCTCAGGGTGTTTTACCAAATCAGGCTCACTGACTGGAGGCTTCAAGGCACTGAGCTGGGCAGGAGTCGGGGGCTCCTGAGGAAGGGCGAGGCCCAGCTGTCTGTGAGCGCCTGTGTAGGGGGGATGGCACCCTGTGACCTCCTTCAGGATGGTTCTAACTCTTCAAAGTGCCAGCCTGCTTTTCGCAAAGATGGGTAGGACTCTGTCCAGGCCCAAGGAGAGGGCGAGGTCTAGGGACCCCAGGTCAGGGAGGGAAGGAGAGGCAGGTAGCCAGCCATGCATGGGGACCCCAAGCAGATAAAACCCTGGGCCAGCAGGCCAAAGGAGAGGGCACCACCATGGCTGCTGGGGGCTGGGGGCGGGGCTGAGGTGACAACATTCCATAAATTCTACAGGAAGCCTTGTCAGGGTGACTGCCCAGCAGAGATACTTACCTGATGTATGGTTCCATCGATTTCAACCGGAACGATAAAATCAGCATTACTGATAGGCTGGAGAGAATGAGAAAAAGATCAGTGTTTCCCAAGGGCCCAGAGTCAGAAACATGCTCACAAGTGCCCAGGCTACTGTAGGAGAGAATGGTTGATTGTCTCCAGAGGCAGGAGAGAGACTCCACCCAATCAGTGGGTTTCTCCCTGAGTTTTTACTCAACCATTTTGCTGATCCTTTTCTTACTCTGAGGGGCAGGGATGTCACCCACTTGCTCACAGCAGATATTTTATCATAAAACTGGACCCAGCTGGAACCCCGTAACCTGTGACTCTGTCATGGGGGAAGGCTTTTCCTTTGCTGACCTGGGTCAGAAGGTTCTCTCCTACTTCTGGGCTTTGGCAACTGCCCAGAGAACTGCTCAGTGATTGGTTCAACGTTCCACAGCCAGGACATGTCAGAGGTGACACCTGGCCCCAGATCTTCCTGGCCTCCAAGGATGCCTTTCCCCGTTCCTGAAACAGGAGGGCTAAGTCTCCCTGGGGATGGGGCCTCAGAAACTGGCCATGTCTGCAGCACCCCAAGTCACTCTGCAGAAGTGAGCTGTGGATTGGCTCAGCTCTTTAGAACAGAGGTAGACAGACAGAATTCAAGACCTCCTTCAGAGCAGGGGCTTTCTCCTCCAGCCCTGGGTCGGGAGCTCCTCCATCTCTGTCCACTAACCCATGCCTAGCTATCTTGGCACCTCTGGCCATGAGGGAACAAGCCAAAAGCATGGACGGCCCCATACAGACCACCAAGCCTAAGAGAAAAACAATGGGCGAGTCCATCCAGATGGATGGAGTTTGGTTCTGAGCGCTTGAGGGACAAGAGAAGCCCAAGACAAGGCCTCAGGCCTCAGGGACCTGGCAGATCTCACTGGGGAGCTGACAGTAGGGCAGGAAAGCTCAGGGAACACACCCTATCCAGGAGGGCCTCGGGGCATCCCCTCCCCCTGGGGAAAGACAGACTCTACTTCTCTGGCCCCTCTCTCATCTGTCTCTCCCTCCCGCTTCTCTCCTTTTCTCTCTCTCCTCTTCCTCCCTCTTTCTCTCCTCTCCTCTCCCTCCTCATCTCTCTCTCCCTTCCTCCCTTCTTCTCTCTCTTCCTCTCTCTCTTTCCCTCCCCGCCTCCCTCTTTTGTATCCCAATCATTTGTGTCCTTTCCTGTTTCTTCATTAAATAGTGCCTCACACAGAGTAGATGCTTCATATGTAAATGTTTGCTGACTGACTTTCTGAGGGATGAATGCTTTGCTGAATTCCACGGAGGCTGGGCTGCCTAGCATGCTGTGGGCACACGGGTGAAGAGCCTCTGTAGAGTGTTAAAGGTAGAGATGTTCACAAATAACCCCATTCTAGCTAGGACAATTTCCAAGCAATGCCCTGGTGATTCTGTGCTCTCAGACAAAGGAGATTGGGTTGGTGGGGGTGAGGGGACAAGGGGTGCCCGTGTTTGAAGATAAATGGGGGCTCTTCAGTCTTTGGAGGCCCAGTCAGTCACTGGGGGAGCCCCTCTGCATAGTGGCCAGCCCAGGGCAGGAGGGGGGAGTGGTCTGGCACGGTCAGCCTACCCTGCCCTGCTGGGCCCATCAGCCTCTGGGCATCTGGAGATGTTAACGATGTGGAGGGAAGGCGGTCCCAACTCGGACCCTCCACCATTCCCACATGGCTAGTCACCGTGATGGCTCTAACCAGATCCTAACATTCATCCAGCTTGGGAAATCCCCCAGCCCACTAGGACTCAGCACTGTGAGTGGCCACCCCACCAGGGGTGATCACCAGCAGCTCTAGAGTGCCTGCCCCCAAGCTGGTTCTTCTCAGCCTGGAGGGGGAAGCTCTGAGGCCTCAGACAGGTTGGTGCCGTCTGCCCCGAGCCCCAGCACCCAACCCCCCAAATGGGAATGCAACAAGATTTTTTTCATCATGTGAGCACTGTATTTCACCACAGAATAAAGATTCATGGCTAAAAAATAAGAAGGAAAACCCAAGCCTGCCCAGACCCAAGGCCCTTCCCCAAGGAGTCAGCTTGGGAAGGGCATCTTTGAGGAGAGGCCTGTGGGAGGATCGGCCCATACACCAGCACCCTGGCCTCAGGGTCTCGTGGGTGCTGGCTGGTTCTGGGAAGCGGCCCTATACACTGAGGTTGTAGGAAGAAAAAAAAAGGGATGGCCCCCTGGGCAGAGATGCTTCAGTAGAGTCCAGCACCTCTGGCTGGTTGTTTGTCTAAACTGCAGCCAATGAAGGGGCCAGTGTGGGGAGTCAGGTAATTTCTGCCCAGCTTTTCCAGGACAGCTCAGGAAAGGCCAGCATCTCCCCGCCCCCTGCTGTGATGGTGCCTGGTCTGTGGGCAGCAGCAACACCTCCCTGCAGGGTCTAGGGTGAAATGCTTCCAAGGCCACCTGGGGCCCAGTTGGGGCCAGTCTGTTATTCTCATGTCGCCACGGCTTGAGAAATCTGCCTGGCACAGGAAATAGTAACTGTGGTGCAGGAAATTGGGAATGGGTCCCTTTTCCTCTGTGCACTGGGCACAAAGAGGCCTTTGTTCCACTAGGAGCAGGCCTGAGGAAAAGCCCCATAGAAGGCCTCAGTCTTCTTCAAGATGACTGCCGCCCAGCTTTGAAGGCAACAGGACAGACCAGCTCTGACCTCTGCCTCCCATGAGGCCAATGGCCCTCAGGCTGCCAATGAAGCCAGGGGGGTGGGGGAGGGGGAATGGGGGAAGCAGCAATGAATGATTCCTGGGCATTTACAGAAATCACATGAGGCCACCAGGGCTGAGAACAGGGCCTCCTCCTGCCTTCCTTCTCCCCAGTCTCTTCATCATGGATTGTGAAGCCTTCCGACACACGCCTCTCGCCCATCTCTCCTCCCCACTTTAACCTCCTTGTTCTGGTATCCAAGGCATGAGAGCTAGGCCTTTCCTCAGCTTGTCCACCTCTACCTCCCCACGGGGTGCCAAAGGTAGGGTGCCCACAAGTGGCTGGGCCAGGCCTTTATGATGCTCATGAGCACAGCTCAGGCCGACTCAGCCAGATGGTGGTGAGGACAAGGACCTCACCAGTGATTCCTCAGAGGAAAGAGATTAAACAAACCAAACAATCATGAAAAGACACTTTTAAACCGGGAAATATCTACTAGTTATGGGCCGTCATCCTCACAGCTGGATGACCTCCCTAGAGCAGACTGAGAAATTCCTAGGGCAAAAGCTTCCCAATCCCCCCCACTCCAGGGCACAGTTAATTTCCCAGGCCAGCCCAGCCACGGCCATCCAGGAGCACCGAGGATGATGATCCAGGGCCCAAAAAATCAGGACTCTAAAGAGAATCCTAATTTCTGAAGCCAGAAGCAGTTGGCCTGTCACTATTTCCCAGCCAGCAAAGTAATCTTTACCCAACAGAGTGAGCTTCCCCTGCATAGGGCAGGGAAGCCATAGGGGCTCATGATGCCTCCGAGCCCTCCCCAAGCCCAAGAGCACAGATCTCTTGGCTTTCTCATTTACCTTAAAGGAGCTGTGCACCAACGTCTCATCGAGGTCAATGACCATGCACTTCTTGCCGTAGTCTGGTACCTTCAGTTCTGGAAGGAGGTATTTAGCTGAGGGCTAAAGAAAGAGAAACACCCAACAGTGAAATAACCCGCCAACATTTCGGACTTTGAGCAGCACCCAAAGCAAGTCCACATGTGCCCCACTGCCACCGTTCTGGGGAGCCACATGTAAAGTGACAGTCATTCAGTAGGACTCGACACCCCCGAGCGTCCTCGGGCCAACGGAGCCAACGTCTACACAGAGAATGAACAGCGGCCTTTTGCTGCCTGGGGGCACCACAGACAGACAGACAGACACCTAGGAAGGGAGGGCTCAAGGGCCTGGAAAACCTCAGGAGAGCCAATCAGGGATGGCCGGGCCTCCTCTGCGTGCGCCCCTGTGACGGCGAGCTTGGACTCTCCACGCCGCTTGAACGAGCTACTGTCTAAGGCCCTGGCTCCAGGAGGGGGCCGGAGAGATGGGGAGGCCGCATGGCTGGGGAGGAGGGCAGGGCCAGGGACACCCTGGCAGACCCTGGGCGCTCTGGGCTCCGACTCTGGAGAGCTGTGTGACTTCACCCCAAGTCTTGGTTCCTTCATCTTAAAATGGGGGTGAAAATGCCTGTCCCATCCTTCTGCTAGGGTTGTCACAAGGCCAGAGTTTGTGTTAACCACTAACAGTTGTAGAAAGGCGAGTTATTATTCCTATCATTACTATTAGGTTTGAGAGAAGGAAAATGAACACTAGGTGTGGAGAGAGAAGATGTGGGTTCAAATGCTCAACTTTGGGCCAGTAAATTAAGCTCTCTGGGCCTCAGTTTCCCCATCTATAAAACAAAGGGGTTGAACAAGTTCTCTAGGGTTTCTTATGACTCGCTGATGGGGAATGTCCAATGTTACCCTATGTCAGCCAGTGTCCAATCCCACCTTAGACTGAGGGCCTTGTTCCGTTTGCTGTGATCCCTGTTTAATTTACCAGGGAAACTATAAAGAAAGGAAATGAGAGGGTGCTCGCTGCTCCTTTAGCTCAGACTGGACCTCGGCCAGACAGCCCAAGCAGCGGCCAAGAGGGTGGCTGATTCAGGCTCAACGTCTGGAGACGCTTCCTGAGGACCGAGGGGGCCCCCTCCTGAGGAGAGGTCAGGCAGAGGCTGGTTACCAGTGGGGATTCCATCCACTCTGGGCCAGGAGCAGAGACATCCTGTGGGAAGCACTCCTTGTGTGAGCCCCGCGGACTACCCCCAGAGCCCAACCCCAGGCACATTTCACAATTAACCCACAGGAATGATGTGACATGCAGTGGTTGGAGAGCAGGGGAAGTGGATTTGTAGACAGATTCTTTGGGGAGCAGAAGACACTCATCAAGTTGCTGGAGGAGGGCCCGCCTGTGGCCTTCGGTCTCACTTAAGCAATGTCTGGGACCAGGACCCGCCTGCAGGCTGCCCATGCAGGCCCCCGGTGTGTTCTCACTGTGGTGAGCCCTAAGGACTTCTCAGCTCCTTGCCAGAGGCCCTCCATGCCACGGGGAGACAGACGCACACGAACTGTGCAGAAAAGGCTCTGGGCTCCAACTGGAGCGTGGGTGACAAAGAAGGAGGCCACAGCCCTCAGAATTCTATCGATTTTGCATTGAGAGAGAAGGGAAAAGCAGGCGAGTCAATCCCACCTCCCCTACAACTTCATTAAGCCTCAAAATGTTTGCCCACTAAGGGGGCTTTGTCTGACTGGAGGGCAGTGGCTGGCCTTTAAATTCGTTCAGTTTCTTTAGCCTGAAGTGATTCGTTGGAATTCTCATGTAGTTACGAGTCCTCAGAACATGTGAGGACATCATAGGAATCCTGCTGTGGCAGATGCCCAGGGGCCAGACTTCTCTGGGCATCAGGGGAATAACTGGGCCAGTGCCACACTCACAGAGTCACCAAGAGCAGCTGCACCTTGTCAGCGTAAAAGTCAGCGTTCAGATCTCTGAGGTTACCCCAAAGGACCGTGGACCTCAGGCTGAGAAGGCCCTCCGAGGCCTGGCCCAGAGGGGGAGAACCAGGCCACAGGGCCAGAAGGGATCTCGAGGGCCTTGGAGTCCAGCTCCCTGAGGGCCAGGAAGTGAACGGACTCGTCCAAGGTCACACGGCCCGTCATGCTACAGATGAGGAAACTGAGGCCAGGAGAGGTGGCGATACGCCCCATGTCACACAGCTAGTGAACACAGGCAGGGAGGGGGCTTAGATCCAGGTCATCTTGCTAACCCCAAGACCAGAGGCACGCCCATTCTGCCGGGCTGTCCTAATGCTCTCAGTACCCGAGATGGCAAACAGCCCAGCGGGCTTTCCAAAGACTCTGTCCACTGAGCTGACAGCGCAATAAGGACGATCATCTCAGTGACGACAGAGGCAGCCTGGACTGGTACCTGGTGGACAGAGTTAGGAAGAGCCGAGTTCAATTCCTGACACATCCTGCCTGAGTGACCTAACCTCTCTGGGCTCTAAGAATGTCTTGAGCAGCAGAGGAGCTGTGACCTGCCCTGGCAGAGGGAGCTTCCTCACCCAGAAGTTCCCCCAGGGCTGGTCCCTGTCCCTGGTGAGGAGGAAGACGACAGCTCCCACGTCTGTACGGAGCCTGAGGTTCGCTGAAGGACGTGACAAGGATGGACCACGCCTGGGGTCAATGGGGCTGACCCCGCTGACGGGCCACTCGCCCACCCCTGGCCACGGCACAGCCCAAAGAAACGGTGACCACGACAGTGAGCTCGCGTGGTCGGGTCTCCTGGGAGTCTGATCTCCCAGGTCCTCGTCCCACTTTACAGCGGAGGACACAGTCTCAGAGGGCATGACTTGCCTATGGTCACACAGCCCGGAGCCCAGGGCCCCCTGACCTCGCACTGGCCACGGCACTGGTGGACACGGGCAGGGGGGCAGGGGGGCAGGGGGGGCAGGGGGGAGGCAGAGGCCGCCTGGGACAGAGCACGGCTAAAGGGCCCCTCCTGGGCATTGGAACCTTGGGGCCACACCTGCAAGGGGAGCCCGGCAGCACCGGCCTGTCTCGCGAGCATCCCTTCCTTATTGTAGTCTCGAGGGCCGCCCTCAGAGCTAAGAGGGCACAGCCTGGACCGTACAGGCATTTCTGGACGTGGAGGCTGATGCTGGAGCTGAAGCCAAGGTGAGGCAGGTGGCCCCTCGGGCCTGAGGCCCGGCTTGGAGTCCTGAACTGGCTGGACTTCCCGTCCCTGTTTGAAACAACAGCTCTGTGTCACAGCTCACCCAGTGAGCTGTCTGACTAGGGGCGGAACCGCGGCAGGAACCCAGATTGGCATGCCCAAAGACAGGAGGGAGATACGTACGCTCGGTATAGGGATGACGTGCCTCTGGTCGCCCTGCGGAGGGAACAAACAAGATGGCGGTCACTCCGGAGGCCTGCTGGAGGGCACACGAGGAGAAAACAGAAATCAAAGCAATAACAATCTGATAAAAACGTGATGACCTTGACATTCTCTCAGCTGATGGAGATGAATGAATAATGGCAGACATAAAGAGAAGCCAAGTGGTAACCCATGGTGGGGGTGGGGATCTCCCAGTGGCAGCACCAGGAGCCAATCACTGGCCTTTTCTTGGGTGTAACTTGAGCCCCCTAACAAGGAGAGCTGAACGGAAATGGCGTGGGCCGCCTTGGGAGATGGCGAGGCCCCCAGCACTGGACAATTATGCAGGGGGATGGATGAACTGACCCCCCAGCTTCTGTCCACCTTGGGCTGCTCAGTTTAGGGAGGGAGGATACGCTGTCCTCAAGATGGACTTTGGAAAATGGTCCCCTTTACTCCCACCAATGTCCCTGGCCTGGTCCTCCGCAGTGCCAGCCCACCAGAGGCTCTGAGGTTCTCAGGAAGATCCTTAGAAATGCCATGCTGAGCCAGTTTAAGGACCCATACCCACACCCCCAGGCTGGCTCCCTGCCCTGGTGCCTGTGTCACCAACGATTATTGCATTCCACTGACTCTCTCTCAGGACGCAGGAGCCCTAAGCCCAGCGCCCTGCACCAAGGCAAAGGGACCCTTCCCCGCCTGGTTCACGGTGCAGCCTCATCTGGTGGGCCAACCTCCTGCCAAGGGGATAGACCTTTCTGAATGCTGCTAGCCAGGGCCTTGGGGCTGCTGGGTTTGAACTTAAAAACTTGTGGAAAAGCAAAACAATCCATAAGCACATCACCCTGCACTCTTCACAGACTGTTCTGGGGGCCCCCGAGCCCTGAAGAACCTTTGGATTGGCTCAGTGCATGGCCCCGGATCATGGAGAAAACAGCACCTCCTCCGATCTCCAGCAGCCTCATGCCTTGGCCCCACACGTCCAGAAGACTGAGCGTTGGTGGGAAGAGCCTCAGGCCAGCTGTGGCCTTAGAAACTAATGGCAAATTATTCCAGAAAAAACTGCACATGTGTACAAATGTAGAGTTTGAAGACCCTTCAGAGGCCCCCCGGTACAACCCTCTCCTTTTACAGATGAGAGAAAAGCTGCAGCTCAGAGAGGGGTCAGCTGACTCATCCGAGGTCACACAGCTAGGGAGTGGGAGGCAGGTCCAGGTCTAGAAGCCTGCAGGGCCTCCCCACTTAAAGCCTTTATTCATGCCGTAGGCCCTGGGGCCGTGGCTGCCCCAACTCATGACATCTCTGAGCCCAGGGAGCACAGTGCCTCTGCCTGTGCGCCACGAAGTCTGCATTTCACTTAGAGGCCCTGAAGGCCAGCAGGGCCCCAGCTGGCAGAGCCAGTGGGCAGGTGGGGGCATCAGACTGCGGGAGCCTGTGGGTTCCATGAGGCAGGGTCCCAAGCCCTCAGCTTCCATTTGGGGGCTGCCCTTGACTCTCCCTTCCCAGCTGAGGTCTCTTATTAACAGACTTGGGGCATATTTAAACAGCCAGAAAGGCATTCACTGGCCTCCCTCCTGTCACCCTGCCCCCTCTGAAAAGGGCTTTTGTCTCCTCTTTTTTGAAAAAACAGCTCTGGGTAGGCGGAAGATGGGAAGGCCAGGGTTTAAAGCCATATCTCTGTCACACCCCGATCTGGTGACCGCAGGTCACCATACCTCAAAGTGCTCCTTAAGAAGGATGCTGCCGAGCATGTGCAGATCGGCATCAGGGGAGGGAGCTTCCCATGTGAATAAAATCACAAATCGGGATGAACAAAGGAAAAGGGAGAGCTCTCTTGTATTCTGTCACTCTACAATTAGATCAAGGCACAGTTTCACGAGCCTCAGGCAGAACAGTGCCCCACTGGGACTTAGCCTGAGAATCCCTTGGATTGGATTCCAGCGGTAAGGCGGCCTCTAGCACTGATTAAGCCTTGAAGGTCCAGGTTGTCATGGTCACCAGCACTGGCTCCTCAGATCATTCCGCTACCCAAGGGAGCCTGGTGGTGGTGGGGGGTGGCTGGAGCACAGGGTCAGGCTCCGGCCCTGCTCACTCACATCTAGGGAACCACCATTTCACCAAGTTGCAGCTTCTGAGCCGATAAACCAGGATGAGCATCTGGAGAGCTGAGTCCTTCTGCCTTGGGCTGCTCAATGGGACAGAACCCAGCAATGCGCTACTGTGTGGCATGCCAACTGCTCCCTCACTGATCCCAGTGGCCACTCTGACGGATGGATGCTGTTACTCACTAGGACCTGACTGGGGCTGGCAAGCACAAGCTTTGCTACAGCTGCGCCCCAGCAACAGGGCCCCAGAAACTGGATCACACAGCCTCTGAGCGGGACCACCCCCAAGGCCATTAAAGGCTCACTCAGTGTCGGAATCTGTGTGCCAGGCAGGACCTTAGGAATCATTCCCATTTTACAGATGAGGTCACTGAGATTCCCAGAGGCCAGGTTTTTGCCACTTTCCAAATCCTCTGTGCTTAGCACAGTGCCTGACATACAATCAGTGCTTAATAAATGCTGGGTGACTGACTGATTCAAGGTACCTGTCTGAGGGCACACAGGGAGTACATGGTGAGCAAGGTTCCTTCCTACGCCATCCCCCGGACCCCTCAGAAAGGACACTGACCAAAGCTGTGGTGCAAATGGAGTGAGGCCAGTGCCCTGGCCAAGGCCCACTGGGCAGCCTGTGGCTTCTGGGAGTGACCAAGTCGAGGCCCTCACGCAGGCCATCACTCTGGGTCAGAGCTTGCTGAATGACTTCAAACATCACGAGGCTACTGCCGGGCTTCCTGAGGAGCCGAGGCCCCCCCTGCTGGAGCTCTCCACGGCAGCGTGGCTATCCTCAGGCCTGAGCCTCATCATGTCCTGGCCAGCTGCCCAGGGTCTGACCATTACAAAGGACACATTCCTCCACTCGGCACCCAAAGCTCTCCACAATGTGGCTCAAACCCCCAATTCCAAACTTCTTTGCATTAACTCCCATTCACTGTCCTACATTCTGGCTCCAAAATCCTCCTCCAGCTGCCTCCAGGACGCTTCTCTGGCCCTCCTACTCATGTGAGTTTACCCGTACTTTTTATTTTGAAGGAGAACAAGATAAGGAGGCCCAAAGAAGGCTTTTCCCTCTACCTACAAAGCAGATGGAAAAGGTTCTTTATAAAACAAAACCTCCATTCTGTGCCCTCAACAAACCAAAGGATCTGTCCTGTGTGCCTGGCATCTCATGGCTCCTGAGGCCCGGCACGCCCTCCTCGCACCCTCCGGGTGTTCTCCTCTCCTTGCTTTGGCCTTCCTCAGGCTCTCCTCTTGCTCTGGCCACTCTGGTCTTCCAAAGCTCCTTCTCTTGATGGTGTTGCTATCATTGTATAGAGGGATTCTGCTCGCTGCCCTCTGAGTCACTTGGCTTTACCCGGGATTTTCAGAAATCCTCTCTTTTGGCCATTTCCAACGGCACAGTAAGCCTCCGCCCCACTCACACACAGCAGGTTGAGCCGCTCTCCAGCAGTCTGAGGGCCAGATTCTACGTTTTTTCCTCCCCCTCCTTCTAACAGCCCCCCAGGATCAGGACATTGGTTTTGCTCATGAGTATTCCTGCCAGTGTTCTCCTTCCTCTTAACACACCTTCCCTCTGACCCCCCGCCTCACCCTCCCTTGCCCTTGCCTCATCTGCTGCCCTTTGGACCCCCTCTTTCTCAAGCACCTCAATTAGCAGAAAGGATGAGCTTCACCTCTGCCCACTTTTCTACACAGATCTCTTTTCCCTCCCCTCACTTTCCCCTCTGAAAACCCACAGAATGGAACCTACCCTTCCCTACCCCCTTGTTTTTCTTATCTAACTTCCTCAATATCTTTTCAAAGGTTTTACAGGACACTTGGTTCTTCTCCTTAGAATGTTAGCACGTCATCAGACAGCCCTTGGAAATGCTCAGTTAGACGTGCTCTTCTAGGTTTCTCTTGACTCTTGTCTTTTCATCAGAAATGCTTGGAGCCCTGTGCTCTATCCAAGGCGCAGGCAGGGTGGCTCGTGGCGGGGCAACACCAGATAAGGCTTGGCCTGGCCCCCAGGCCTGCAGAGACATGGCCAGAAGGAACCCAGCACACGGTGACTCCAGCTGGCCCCCAGACCCCCTGGACATGGGTGATTTGTGACTCTTCCAGCCGGCCCCCAGGTCCTCAGACATGAGTGACTCGTGATGCCTCCAGCCCGCCCCCAGGCCCTCAGAGACAAGGCCAGAAGGAACCCAGGACACGAGTGACTCGTGATGCCTCCAGCCGGCCCCCAGGCTCCCCAGGACGTGGGTGACTCGTGATGCCTCCAGCCGGCCATCCTGGCACATCTTTCCCAATGCTTGCTTACCGTCCCCCTGACTCTTGGCCAGCTGCTGCCTCTCCTTCTTGCTCTGTGATGAGCTCAGCTTCTTTTCTGGCCACCTGCATCCTTGGGGTGGTGGGTGCTTTCTGCCTCTTCTTCCCTACATGTCACACACGGATTGGAGGCAGTCTGCTTACACTCCCCACATGCCTCTCTTGTTCTGTGAGGTCTTTATCATTTGGACTTTCCCTAGACTGTGATGCTCCATGACCCGCAGCCACATGGCCATCCTACCGGGAGAATACTGGTGCTAAGACGTGGGGAAAGCGGCAGTTTGGAATCAAGGAGAGTGTGCCCAATTTCCCAAGTGCAATGGAGTCAGATCTTCCTGCTTAGCTCTGGGCCCAGCTCACTCAAATAGCCACAGCAATGAAAGACGGAGGTGTACCCAGCACATGGACGACACGTTTTTCATCCATGTTGTTTTTCCATCATGGATGGTTAAGAACAATCTATTTCCAATTGCTGGAAACGTCAGTGAAGAGGTGTCACAGCATTTTGAGCTCTATGTGATTCATTAGTACAATGATAGCTATGATTAAGGGTGTCTGGAGAACTCTCACCCACTGGGAAGGCTTCCTTGTCTTTACACTTCAGCAAAGACAGAATTATGGCTGATGGAAGGTGGTTTTTTAAACCTCCCGGTGAGAGTCCGCTAACACACGAGTCTATGTTGGTGCTCGTCTCCCTAACCCTCCCCTCGGTGAATGAATCCCTTGATCTGTGGAAAGCTAGGGAAGCCTCCCTCTAAAGCCTCCCTCCCGCACAATCACAGGACGGGCGGCCAAAAAGGAGAGCACCGGCGCCTTGGGGATGATTCTCATCTGCAGCTGCTCCACTCCGGCGGCCGAGGGCTCAGGATGCCATGCTCTCACTCTGACCTGACAACAGGTAGTGGAAAACCCCCCGGATCAGAAGGAAGGCAGTGGGGGAGCAGGCGGCGACAGGCAGCCTCACCTCAAATAAAGGCCTCGAACTAGAATCACTTAGTAGGAGAGAGAGCCCTCCCTCGTTCAATCTGCCCAGGGAACTCCCCAGACCTCTTGGCTGAGCAGAGACCCATGCAGACAAGTGCCAGTGAAGGCCACAAACCGAGCGGTGGGGCTCAGCCTGCTATTCCGGCGGGGACATAACATCCCACTGCCCGTGGGGACCAGCTTCTTTGGGGTGACATGGCCCCCACTGCAGGGTGGTCTTGCCAACTCCACAATCCAGTTTCCAAGAAACTGGAGGAATGGAAAATTACTGTGAATGATCCAATTCTAAGGGAAAGAAGAAGGAGCAGCAGGAAAACAAGCCACTTCTGCATGCACCCTCTCCTTAGCCAAGAAGATGGCAGAATTCAGGAATCCACTGAGCCCCCCCCCCCCACGCCCCACACGGGTCCAGGGCCATCGAGAGGCATTTTGGCCACTTTGCCTTCCGGCCTTGGACTCTGAGCCCGCATTGGGAGACAGGGACAACTGACCTTCTGAAGCCCCCCGTTCTCCTCCACCACCGGGGGCAGCACGCTCGTGCTGTGGATGGCTGTGGTGTCCACATGATAGTTGCGGAAGCAGCAAAACAAAGAACTGAAGATGCTCCGACTTCTTTGCTTCTTCAGGCTGATGCTGCTCTGGGCCGCTGCAGGAGCAGAGAGAGAACACAGAACCCTGAGGAGGTGAGCTCGTGAAGACGGCGCCTCCCCTGCCCAAGGGCCCAGCCAAAGGAGAGCAGCAGGGCACCCCTTGGGCTAGTGGTTCCTTTTGTTCTCAGGAGAAGCCAGTCTGGGATGCCCCTATTCTGCCCCCCCAAACTGAACACTCCCTTGGAGCAAAGAAAACCGGTTAAACCAGAACCAATCAGTATGGCAGTGGTCACACGGCACAACACATGCCCCATTCTGAACCCGTCATCCACCGCCCCTCTGCTGGCAAGGCAGACATCATCCCATTGTTGGTTCCCAGGGACCAGAATTATTAGAAACAGGAGATCAATCAGCAAGCACTAATTCAATATTTACCATAGACCAGGCACGGGGCTGAGTACTGGGAATGTAAAGGCCAAAAAGAAAAAAAAAAGGCTATGCCCTCATGAAGCTCCCATTCTAATGGAGGACAAAACCCACATCTGAATGGGCACATCAGGGGAAGGCCCAAGCAGGAGGGCCAACCGCAAATGCGTTCTGTCTCCTGAGAAAGTGGGGCTTGGGCCAGACCTTGAAGAAGGCCAGGGACATGGAGAGGCAGCTGCAAGGACTGAAAAGGCAGCTGTAGACATGGAACAACAACAGATCAGTGACACCTGCAGAGTCCTCAGAACATTTCTTTTTGTTTTGTTTTGTTTGGGGTGTTTTGGGTAAGGCAATTGGAGGTAAGTGACTTGCCCAGAGTCACACAGCTAGTGAGTGTTATGTGTCTGAGGCCAGATATGAACTCAGGTCCTCCTGACTCCAGAGCTCAATCCACTACACTACCTAGCTGCCCCTCTCAGAACATTTCTAATGCATCAAGTAAAATACAATGGGTAGAAAAGGCAACAATTCTATAGAAATACAGTTACAAAAACATTCTGAAAAGGCCACCAAGTTCCCAGAGCCCAGGTGAGTGAGTGAGAAGGTCTACGCCCCGCATACCAAGAATACCACAAGAATGGCCCAATGAGTGAAGGCGACTGCAAAGGGTGGAAGGGGGCAGGCCAGGAGGAGGTTGAAATGCCCAAGGGAAAAGATGCTCTTTGATCCTAGAGGGGCAGAACTAAGGGGGTGAGCTGAGCAGGGGAGGGAGTGGCCAGGGTCAAGCATCCACAGGGAGACGGGCTTGTGTGGGAAGTCTGAGGAGAGACAAGAAGGCTTGGAAGAGACGCTGTGGGAAGTGGGGTACAGAATCGAGCAGCACTAGAATTGCCTTGCTGTGGTGAGGGTCCAGGTGCAATGAGATGGCCCGAGTCTGCAGACCCAGCCAATAGCAAGCCAAAGGATGGTGTAGAATGGAGGCCGTTCACAAAGGGCTCAAGCCTGGGAGCGTCAGAGCCTGATAATTCTAATTCCAGAGTCTGCCTGGGCTCCCCAGACACTGTGCCTCACCCTCCTCCTCCAATCAAAGATCCTTGGGTCCACCAAAGTGAATCAAAGATGGCGCTCCTCGTGGAGCATTTCTCCACAGAGAGCACTGTGAGACTGAATGTTCACAGCTAAAACAAGCAATAAGAAGAAGCCATTCCCCACAGGTTCTTTTCTCCTGTGGCTTGACTCAGGCATGCATATGCATCTGGAAAACAGGACCCTCCAGGGCTACTTGGGAGCCAGAGGTTGAATTGAGAGCACACTCACCAAATAAAATTGAGACTCCATGACTGGGCTCACACCCCAAGGAAGCCAGCGACGAGAAGAAGGGCCTCGGAGGCAGAGCCAAGATGGTGGTGTGAAAGCAGTGACTTACTTGAGCTCTCCCCCAAACCCCTCCAAACATCCGTAAAAAAAAAAATGGCTCTAAACAAACTCTAAAGCAGCAGAACCCACAAAAAGACAGAGCAAAACAAATTTCCAGTCCAAGACAGCCTGGAGGGTTGATTAGAAAGGTGTATCACGCCGGGCTGGGAGCACAGCACAGCGAGGGCGTACAGGCTGCAGCGGACCTGGAGCAGGCCTCAGAGGAATGAATCACAGGCAGCTGTGGCGGTGTCCAGACTCCTCAATCCATGAACACCAAAGACAGCTTAGGTCAGTGGGAAAAGTCTGTTTTTGCAGTGAGAGAAGAGCTAGGTCAGAGCCAGTTCCAGAGCACAGAGCACAGAGCACGAGCACTGGGGTGGTGGCTGCGTTCTGAGCTTCCGGCCCATAGACTAAGGAGAAATCAAGTGGCTGATCAGAAGGGGACTGCAGGGATCTCTTTGCTGGTGCTGAGGCAGGGATCTCTTGCTTTGCCCATGCTTGGATCTGGGTCACAGTCCTGGGTGGCAGTCCTGGGGTGAGGAGGAGCACTGGCATGGTGGAGCTTGTAGTGGCGGTGGAGAGGAAACCCTCGTCACAGTTCCAAGAGAGAAAAAACTGCTTGTGGCCAGTCACTCACAGACCAGAGCACAGACCAGGAAAAGAGTAAACACCTCCACCCTTATCATACCACCTTGGAAAAACTGAAAATATACAGGTCCCTACAAGTATCTCTGAAAACAGCTGTACAAACCCCCAAAGCTTGGAACAATACATTCTCCACATTGGAAGCAGACTCTTACCTTAACAAGGAGTTTAAAACTCAAGTATTGGCTGGGATCATGAGCAAACCTCGCAAAAAGAGTCAGACTATATCATCTTACTTTGGTGACAGAGAAGATCAAAACATACAACCAGAAGAAGACAACAAAGTCAAAGCTCCCACTTTCAAAGCCTCCCAGAAAAATATAAATCCGTTTCAGGTCTTGGAAGAGCTCAAGAGGGATTTTGAGAAGCAAGTAAGAGAAGTAGAGGAAAAACTGGGAAGAGAAATGAAAGTGATGCAAGAAAATCATGAAAAACAAGTCAACAGCTTGCTAAAGGAGACGCAAAAAAATACTGAAGAAAATAACACCTTAAAAAATAGCCTAACCCAAATGGCAAAAGAGATCCAAAAAGCCAATGAGGAGAAGAATGCCCTAAAAAGCAAAATTGGACAAATGGAAAAGGAAGTCCAAAAGATTACTGAAGAAAATACTTCCTTAAAAATTAGAATAGAGCAATTGGAGGAGAGTGACTTTATGAGAAATCACAACATAGTAGAACAAATCCAAAAGAATGAAAAATTAGAAAACAATGTGAAATATCTCATTGGAAAAACAACTGACCTGGAAAATAGATCCAGGAGAGAGCATTTAAAAATTATTGGACTATCTGAAAGCCATGATCAAAAAAAAGCCTAGACATCATCTTTCAAGAAATTATCAAGGAAAACTGCCCTGATATTTTAGAACCAGAGGGCAAAATAGAAATTGAAAGAATCCACCGATCTCCCGAAAGAGATCCCCAAAGGAAAACTCCTAGGAATATTGTAGCCAAATTCCAGAGTTCCCAGGTCAAGGAGAAAATATTGCAAGCAGCCAGAAAGAAACAATTCAAGTATGTGGAAACACAATCAGGATAACACAAGATTTAGCAGCTTCTACATTAAGGACCAGGGCATGGAATATAATATTCCAGAGGGCAAAGGAGATAGGATTACAACCAAGAATCACCTACCCAGCAAAACTGAGTATAATCCTTCAGGGGAAAAAATGGTCATTCAGTGAAATAGAGGACTTTCAAGCATTCTTGATGAAAAGACCAGAGCTGAATAGAAAATTTGACTTTCAAATACAAGACTCAAGTGGAACATGAAGAGGTAAACAGGAAAGAGAAATCATAAGAGACTTATTAAGGCTGAACTGTTTACATTCCTGCATGGAAAGATGATATTTATAACTCACGAGACCTTTGTCAGTATTAGGATAGTGGGAGGGGAAAGAATTATATGTACATATAGATAGATAGATAGATAGATAGATAGATAGATAGATAGATAGATAGTAGATAGATAGATAGATAGATAGATAGATAGATAGATAGATAGATAGATAGATAGATAGATAGATAGATAGATAGAGGGCACAGGGTGAGTTGAAATGAAGAGGTGATATCTGGAGAATAAAATTAAGGGGTGAGAGAGGATTATACTAGGAGAAGGAGAAAGGGAGAGGTAGAATGGGGTACATTATCCTGCACAAAACAGACAAGAAAAGGTTCTTACAGTGGAGGGGAAACAGGGGAAGGTGAGAGGAAATGAGGAAATCTTATTCTCATAGGATTTGGCTTAAGGAGGGAACATACACACTCAATTGGGTATGGAAATCTGTCTTATCCTACAGGAAAATAGGGGAGGAAGGGGACAAGAGAACAGGGGGATGATAGAGAGAAGGCAGATTGGCAAAGGGGTAATCAGAAGGAAGTACTTCTGAGGAGGGGCAGGGTCAAAAGAAATAGAATAAATGGGGGGGCAGGATAGGATTAAGGGAAATAGAGTTAGTTTTTCACAACATGTCTACTATGGACGTGTTTTGCATAACTGCACAGGTATGGCCTGTATTGACTTGCTTGCCTTTTCAATGAGGGTGGGTGGGGTGGGATGAAGGGAGAAAATTTGGAACCCAAAGTTTTAAAAACACATGTTTAAAAAAAATGTTTCCACATGCAACTGGGAAATAAGAAATACAAGAAATGAGGTACAGAAATCTATCCTGCCCCACAGGAAAATAGAAGGGGAAGGGGATAAGAGAAGGGGGGGAGACAGAAGGGAGGGCAGACTAGGGGAAGGGGTATTCAGAATGCATGCCATCTTGTGGTGGGGGAGGGTCAAGATGGGGTGAAAAGTTGGAACTCAAAATCTTGTGGAAGTGAATGTTGAAAACTAAAAATAAAGAAATAGAAGAAGAAGAAGAAGAAGAAGAAGAAGAAGAAGAAGAAGAAGAAGAAGAAGAAGAAGAAGAAGAAGAAGAAGAAGAAGAAGAAGAAGAGGAGGAGCCTCGTATTCCTAGCAGTACCTTTTGTGACAGCCAAGTAGTGGCCACAAAGGAGACACCCATCAACTACTGCTCAGTCATTTCAGTTGCTCCCAACTCTCTGTGACTGCTTTTGTGGT